ATGATAGATGATTTAATGTTCACCTAACAAATGACTTTTAATTATGGCCTCTTCTCGCGCACGCCACAATATAAAACTAGTTGATTAATTAAGCTCGGCTCTCGCATTTGCGTCGATAGATCGTGGTTTAGAAGTTACTTAACGAAATTGCCGCCAGTCGGCTCGCTAATGGTCGGTGCAATGTTTGAACGATAATTATTTCAAGTTAAACGCGAGAGACTCGCTTTGACCGCCGTGAGGAGATTGATAACGGAAAGCGCGTCCTCTATTATTTCGATGGAAAAAGTGAATTGAGAGAGGGAGAGAAAGTTTACCGGGTGTCGTTATATACCTGTGCTGGAACAACAAGCAGAAGAAGAAGAAGAAGAAGAAGGGATCTCGATCCGAGAGGAATTCGAGGCGACTATCTTCGCCGCGTGTTTTCATACGATCACCATTGTGAACGATGCTCGGGGGACCGGGTAATGATCGTCGTCAAGATCATCGTGGATCGCCACGAGGCGAGATCTCGCGAGAGAGCAATTGTTGCGCGAGTCGATCGAAGCCGTGAGAATCGTAACGAGTGTGCCGCGGCTCTCTGATCGTCGTTTGATTCTACGGGGGGAGGACGAAGGTGCAACCGGCTTGGCACGTTCAAATCGCTTCAAAGGGATCAATCCAAGTTCCTACGCTTGTGCTCACTCCACGATTGTCCTCCTTTCTAGAGCTGACCTTCTCGATAAAAACACCTACCGCTCTGGCTCTTCCGCTTTGTACCTCTCTGGTAGGCACACAAAGAGACGTACACACATACACACGTGTATATAAACGAGAGGATTTTACTAAAAGCGACCAGTCACCGTCTAGGCTGCTTCGAGCATTAATTAAACGACGACACACCGTGTGTGCCGTCCAATTCGAGAGGTTTCGTCGGAATCGCTGGATTTTTTCTTCATTTACATGCGCGTGAAAGTCGTCGCACGGTGGGTTTTAGCGGAACTATTTTAAATGACCGACGCCTCGTTACTTTCGTCGCGGCACGTCGTCTAGCACACGGCCGTAGAATTTTCCTTTTTCCCACGACGCATGCCTGGCGGAAATGAGTTTAGTTCCGTTTTCGAGACCACGATCCATCGCGTTGGATTAAACTTTACGACCGAACCCATACACCTATGCCCCGAAAAACTTCGGCCTACCCAGCCACGTTTATGCCCGTCGAATTTTTAAGCTTCCGAGAGACTTGTAGGGGAGAAAAGCCAAGAGAGAGAGAGAAAAAGGTTCTTTTTCGTGACCCGACTCTAGAGACCCGTTATATTCGCCTTTTTATTGGTGAAAAACGCCTCGGCCTCTATTTTCTCGAGAGCACTAAACCGAGAGCTCGAAGTTTGCCGAGCGAGAATCGTCAGGGTGGGCCACGGACAGGTCACTTTTTTACTGCTCGTTCCTCTTAAGCTGCAATTATCGGGGACAATTTGCAATAAAATAGTAACAGTGTTTGCGTTTCGTCTACGCTCGCGTTTTTTCGTTTTTTCCTCCTCCTCCTTCTCCTAGCGATTTTCCTCGTTGAACTTCGGAAGCTTCTGTGCTCGAGACTGAGAAGGTTTCTGCGAAAGCCGAGAGAATTTCTAAATGAATCGAGACAGGCTGGATTGCCACACGGGTTCACTCTGTTTCGCGTCTTTCGACCTCATCTTCGGCAATGCATAGCGCGATCCAGTTTGCAGAGAGTGACTTCCGGTCTTTCGAAATGAAACGGCGCGGCGGCGTTCCGCAACGCGCGCTCCGGAGGTCGGCCTTCGCGCGATGCAACGTGGACCGTTTGTTTCCGATGCTATTATTCTATCGCTGTTCGATAGCCAGTTCGTTCAGATTCGTATCTAACTATCGCGCAATGCACGGCTATTGTATCACCGTCAAATATCCTCCATCAGAAACGCGAACGTGCAACATGTAACCAAAGTCCTCGATCTCGTTTTACGCCAGGAATATTTCTAAACACCTGTTATAATTCCCTTTAAATTACAACCTCGTTACAGTCCACGTCTATAAATGACACATGTCACAACTAACTTCGTTACAGATCCCCCCACCCTTCGAGTTTACCTTTAACGATACACACAGCGGGAATATTCCGTTGGATATCGTTGGAATTAGCCTCGATACGATCTTCCCGCGGAGTGTCTAATGAATCGAATAATTAGCCTAATCACGCCGCCCGAAGCCTCTCCAACTATTCGACGACGTTGTCGAACCTGAACGCTTTTTCGCTTCGTGTCACGATCGCGGGACAAAGAAATCGGTCAGTCGGCAGTCAGGTGAAAAATTACGAAACTTAACTCGTCCTTCGCTTCTTCTACTCGCCTCGCGAGAGTCTTCGGGATTCGATAGGTTGAACGAGGAGGCGAGCGTTCCGCGAAGTAACGCGTTGGAGGCAGATAGGAAACGCGGGATTGAACACGGGTGTCGGGACGCGAAACTCTCCGCGTTGTTATTAACGTGCAGCGACAGCGCGATACGTTTCGAATTAGCGCGCGATGAGGAAACCCGTAATTGCCAGTTGTCAGATTCGGGGATCGTTCGCTACGCGTTTCAGCCCATCCTCTTTCGCAAATCGCGTCTCTCTGATCACATACCTTGAACAAACCTGGATGTTGATTTTTAACGCCGCGCGATAATCATCAAACGGGAGAATCTAGCCGGGGGTTCAATTCTCAGCTACGACACAGCATCCAGCACTTTGTCACCACAACATCAAATCGAAACAGATTCGCTAACACTGGCGATCACTTGGAACGGTGTCACCGATGCGTCGGGTACCGCCAATTCCAACGATAAATCTTCTCGAAGATCATTCAGTGCTTCAGTCACTAAGAGAAAAAAACTCACTGTCCTCCTCGACGAGAGATAAAAGAAGGAACAAAAACAAACACCAAACTCTACTGTCTTCACTGTATCGTCGATCGACGATTCAATCCAACTTTCATCACATAAATTCTCGTGGGAAATTCGAACATTGTCGAGCAGTCCACAAGGTTGCCTCTTTGCCGCTCGAAACGTCACTTCGATCTTCCTCGACGAATCTCGAAACGAAAG